CAGGTTAGGTAAAAAAAACCTGATTTTGAGCAGTTTAAAGATCTAAAACCTCGAAAATTCATCTGCATTGTTGTTTAAAGCTCGATTTATATGAATCCCACAGGAAATACTTTGTTCCATAAGTTCCATAAAAACCTAGCTTTAAATAATAATGCAACAAAGAAAATGCCGCGTTTCAAATCTATCCTTCAAAAGTCAGGTTTTTGGATTTGCCCTACTTTGGCTCTGGGGGACAGACATGTTTTTCGAGAGGATCATACTCATTATCTCTCTCAAAAAACCAATGCATGGGCTGGTATTTTTGGCAACAAAATAACTGGACCGCTTTTTATCGAGGAAAATTTGACTGGACAATTAAATCTTGATCTTATTGAAAATGTTATAGACCCACTTATTACCCATTCATTAAAAAATTGGATGGACGAACAATGAAACGATGAAGGACATTAAATTTTGTACTTTCAATTTCAATTTCAGATGGAGCTCCTCCTCACTATGCATTGCCATTTAGAGAATGGTTGAACCGAAGGATTCCCGAGAAATGGATTAGTAGAAGGATGACCCGCAAGATCTCCAGATTTAACGTTACTTGATTTTTTTAGAACATTCAAGAACTTAAACCAAAAATAATTCAAGAATATAGGCAGATAACTCCTGAAACGTTTAAAAAATTCGAAAAGAGTTTGAGAACGGATTGTATTATTGTTTAGCAAAGAACTAAGCTCAGTTAACATATTTTTATAGAATTCTTTGTTTTATTAACACCACAATTTTTTGGCTCTAACTCGCGAATTCGTGATCGACTTTTAATTTGTTTAACTTCCATGGATCAGAAATTATATTTCTGGAGGTGAGAGGGTGCAACATAAAATTTGTTTAACACGTGATTTGAACTTCCCCCTCGATATCTAAATCGACCTGTTTTTGCTTAAGATCATATTTACCATAACCCAAACATAATTAAGGGCGGCTAGTTTGTAATTGAAATCGGCTGTACCAGGTCCCCGTAATATTATATTCAAACACTTTGGTAAGTATACCTATTGGTTTTCAATGTTTAAAAATGAAAAAAGTGCTTCAGGTCATATTTCCTGTCGAGCGAATTTTACATTTTTATGCGATTTTTTTTTATTATAAATTGTAGATTTAATAATAAATAACAAGGGTTTACATATTTTACAAAATAAATATGCCTAACACTATTTAACATTTTACTTAAACACGAACATTTTCATCTTGAATCAAAACGAATTGTTAAGGCGTCATTCGTCTGCCAAAATTTAACTTTGAATTTGTCACGTTTTAAATTAACGCAGAAAACGAATAGGCGGCGTTAAGATAGGTATCCATGTTTGTGATTGGTGGAGTGAGGGAGAGAGAAAGAACACCATGTTGACAGTTGCTTCATTGTCGTGGAATGTGATGTGTTCGCGTTTACAGTTGATACACTTGGTCATTTACCTGTGGCAATTGGAAAAGTAAACGCAGATATCTAATTCTTTTTTTGTAATAAACTAGGTATCATGGACAAAGGTATAATTCGTAGCACCCTTATGATTTTTGATTAATTTTACCATAGGAACGTCGGATGTAAATTTCGCCATAATCCTTTTTATTCCACTCTAGCGGGGTCTTAAAATGAACGTCCTTCATAACACGCTGAACTGTGAACGGGAAATTCGCGTGCAACTTCCCTTATGCTCTTACTACTATTTGCATCAAAGGTATTGAAATTAGCTTCTTTATTTTCCGCTGTTTTAATACGTTAAGGAGCACCTTCACTTTTGTTGTAACAATTTTGTTACAAGTTGTAACTTACAACTTTACAGTACAGTAAGGCACGATCGAGAAACCGCTGGGAAAAAACTTGTGCTGCCTCCCTAGCATTGCGCCCATATTCCCCATAAATTATTACCATTTCGGCATAATCAGAGGAGGAAAACATAAATTAAAATGATAAATAATGAGAGGAACAATGAAGTGTATTCCAGTCGATCTAATATTTACATATTATAATATCAAAAATGCATCCTAAGGATCCTAACAATTTAAAGAATTGCGCTTATCCTTTGCGTTATTAATAATAATAATTATTATAATAATAAAGGACTTTATTTGACATACATACTTATACAGGGTGTCCTGAAATTAGTGCACCATACTTTAACAGCAGATTCTACGTGCAAAAATAAGAAAAAAAGTCCCTATAAACATAGGTCAAGAAATGCCTCTTAAGGGAGCTATAGCCGGCTGCAGCCCCCAAAAGGAAAGCCCCTGAAGATGGTTTTTATTTAATATCTCCAAAACCGTTAAAGATAGAAAAGTGAAATTTAGGGAATTAATTAAACTTTTTATGACCAATAAGACGTAACAATAACAATTTAAAAAATTTCATGAGGTTTGGGTCAGATTGATAGGAAGTGGGGTTAAAACCACCTTAACTTTTTTGTACGTATCTTGTACTAGAATTTGATGTCAGATTATGAAATTTTGGAGTTTTGCACATAAAAAAGGTCATCTTGTTGAACTTCGTTAACATACACCGTTTTCGCTTATAATCGATTTGAAAATTATTTTACATGGCATAAAAATTCACAATTAAATCACAACGATAGAAATGGACTCGCGTGGTCCTTGGAATACGACTGCCATGTTTAGGAGAAAAAAGAATAATTCAAGACAGGTGACAGTTTCATGTAGTAAGTGACAGGGTGTTTCTACTTTTTTATAAATATTATATAAAAACCATATTCAGGGGCTCCCTTTTCAGGGGCTGTAGCTCCCTTAGGAGGCATTTCTCGATCTATATTTATAGGGACTTTTTTTCTTATTTTTGCACGTGGAATCTGCTTTTAAAGTATGGTGCACTAATTTCGGAACACCCTGTATACATATATCAAAATGGCGAAGTTTGATTATAAAAATCAATCTTACACTTAACCATAAAAATACATAAGGAATAATATTATTACTAAAAAAGAAAAAATAAAAGATTTTAGAACACTGTTAATAAATAATTAAAATTAAATTGCACACATTAAATGTTGTGTAATTAAAAAGTAAACTGACTTTGCTTTTGAAGCAAGGCTTTTTTGTAAGTCTTCTAAATGTGTTTGGCTTAAAGTTAGTGAATTCTAGTTTTAATGAGTTACACAGATATGTGTATATGTATATAACTAAAAGATTTTTAAAAAGAGAGGTGTGGTGTTGGGGAATAGTAAAGGAGTTGTTGCGTATGTTATGATTTTGTATATCGCTCCTAAAAATTATTTTTTTTCTTAAATATAAGGTGCTGAAGATTGTATTAATTTATGAAGAAAAATAGTATACACTGTTCAAAATTTCATGACCATTTTAACACCAAATTAACACCATACATGGTCTATATCGATACAAACCAAAATGGTGTTTAATATGGTTCGTTGGTCCAGTGTAAATTCAAATACTAAAATGGTGTAAATTTAACTTTCACACAGTATTAAAATAAATTTTACCTGGTATAAATTGAACTCCTTTTCAGTGTTAAATATAATGTGTTTTTGGTCAAATTAAATCATACTACACAGAAATAAAGGAAAAAAAGGAAACAAGAAGTTCCTTGACGCATTACAAGTATATAACCAGTGGTATAGAAAATTTAACTCAACTCGCTAGAGATAATGTTTTTAGTGCGTTCCACCAACTTAAAATACTTCAAATATTAACAGCTGTTTGCACCTATTTAAGGTCTCTTTAGTATCGAACAACTGGTAGTGTCACACCAAATCAAAGGACTACCTGAGCTTATATACTCTTCATGTAAGTTAAGAGAGGCGAGATTTAAGAACATCACGTGATCCACACCGCCTTTGCCGCGATCGGTACACACTATGCAACAAGGAATGCACGGCAAATTGTTTTAATCGTTTTAACAGAGTGCTTTAGGTTGAAGTAACTCTTATTGTACAAACAACATATTTAGTAAACTGAACCATACAGCGGGTTGGTTTCATTAAAGTTTTCTGGGTTAATTTAACCAATTTAAAAAAATAAAATAACTATCTGGTTTAGTATCGTCAAACTAATCTTTGTTTATATTAACCTTCCCACAGTTGATTTAAATAAATACTTATGGGTCAACTAAATTAATATAGTTAAATGAACTATTCCTTTTTTTCTGTGTAGGTGCACTTCTCAAATATTTTTTAATAAAGACCGTTTTGGTATTTGCTGTATATAACATTTTCAACCATAATTCATGGTGTTATATTAACACCACTTGGTGTTGGATTTTGACACCATTTTAAGATTACTCTTCACACCACAGATATTTTAAACAGTGTAGGTAAGATAGTGTGTATTATCCATATTTAACAAATTGAGACTTCTGAAACTTGTAGAAATGTGGTCAAATTTACGGACATTGCAAATAAGTCTACAGCAGGTATTCTGCACTATCTGTATTCGATTCTTAGTAGTTTTATCGAGAAAAAGGTAGTAAACACAAGATTACAATAACTAAAAACTGACAAAACAAGTGATTCACATAGTTTTTTTTTAATTTTCCAATTTAGTATGTCTCTATTTGCATATAATAGTTTTAACCTAACATATGCATTTTGTAATAATTTATTTGTATGATCGCAAAGCTTTAACTTCTGGTCAATAGTTTTATCCTGTATTTAAGAGAATAAGTAAATAAATTTTAAAAGGAATATAAGTATTGCTTTTTAATATATTTATACAATTTCTTATACCATATAACCAAGAAAATTAAAAAAAAAATAAACTTTAGAATTTATCTTTTACTTTTGGATTGATTAACGCTTAAATAAGTGCAGCGGTTTTATTTAAAGTAAACAGAATAAATAAAGTTTCTTTAAACTGTAAGTGGAGACAATGATGAATGTTTCTAATTAGATTAAGTAATTTGGTTGTTTTATAGAAACTAATTTAATAAACGAGCCTGCAGGGCCGTTCGTAAAAACCTAAGTGGAACAACTGGTGCATTTGGTACTTACATCGTGTAGCCAAGTGAGCCGTCTCCAATGGGGGTTGGCTCTCACGTGACATTCGAAGTATACGTCGTCGCCTTCCTTGATGTCATCAGCATTGAGCGTGCTCCCCAGACACAGCACCACTATCGGGGGGTCTGAAACAATAAGCCATTGTGAAGGGAAGGCACTGACAAAAAACTATTCTCTTCCGTCAGATATATAAATCATTGATAGAGGCAGAGACGGAGTTGGCAGCCCAAAGTTCGCGAAAAAAGGTATATTGAAAAATAAAAAAAAATACGACCATTTTTGTTTTCATATTTTAATTTTTAAGCATGAATATGGTAGAATTGAAAAGGGAGCAATAAAGGACCTAAGCCTTATTGGAAAAAATTAAGCAAGCAAAGTTTAAAGATAATGATTCAACTCTAAAATTTGTTATTTTGATTTTGTGATTTGTTTTAATAAACAACTTTAATTTTATTAAAGGATATAAAAGTTTAAAAATGCTTTTCTTTTTACTTCAGGCTGTGAATAAACACCTTAAAGCGTGTTCAATGTTCAATGAGGTCCCTTATTGTCCGACCTCTTCAATTTAAAAATTTAATATGTATACAACAAATAAAATTTACATTTTATTAGGTAGGTATAACATTATATATTTGAATGCATAATAATTTCAAAATTGTTAAATCATCAGAATTTTGCTAAAATTTCTTAAAATATGAATATTAAAAATTAGGTGGTTAAAATATGTTTTATTTAATTTAGAAAAGGGATTAGGAATCTTTTTATGCAAAGTTTTTTTTTAAATTTCAAAACGAATTTCTCCTTTACCATTATCTCTAATGATAATGAGGGTTGGGTTGGGTCCAATAGAGTAGAAACACTGAGCCTTTATTGGTCTTTAAAAATGAAACTCCTGCAATTTTGCGAATTCGAACATATGGCAAGGAAAAATTTTTCTTGGAATTTACCTTTACCGAATATTTTGAAAATTTGTTTTAACAATTTTTGTAGGAAATTTTTTTGCTTTATCATCTTTTTCGTAAAACCGCACTGTTATACAAATAGATTTATGAACATGAGTTTGTAGTTCAACAAGTTTAACTGATTCAGCGTCTGCAACTTATATTTTTACGTACTTTATTCTAATTCTTTACGTGTTCGTAACAACTGTCCAAAGTGTTTATAATATATTACCAGAAATCTGTAATTATTGTTTTTCGGATTCCTTATACCTATTTAACAAGTGTGCGAAGAGCGAAGTATCCGAAATTAGGGGATACAGTGAAGTGGGTTAAAGTTACGAAATACATCAGTACGTGTATCAAATTTCTTTATAATTTGATGATTTTAGAATGGTTTGTTATTTAATTGTGTGTATGTAATTTTTGTGTTCATTTATGTAGGTAGGTATGTGTTAATTTTTTTGTTTAGCAAATTGATTAATAAAGCAACATTTCTTATCAAAATTCTTTTCATTTAAGTTCCCAATTTTCAACAAATACTTTTGTTACTGGGTCTACAAAAATGTTTGTAAAAATTAGGTCCTTTCTAAAAATTACAAGAATTACGGTTGAATTATTAAAAGGATTTTGTTATTAAATTTACAAAATGTTTGTTAAAATTACGAAATACTTATTCAATTAGTTAACAGATTACAGTTGGTTGTAAACTAAACATAAAGTTATGTGGACCTGGATTAACATAAAATCTGGTTAATATTTGGTTAAAATTAACAAATACTTTTTTACTGTGTCTAAGACATGATCCAATTAAAATAATAGTATATTATGTATCAAGTTGGATAAACGCCATTTTATACACGAATTTAATTTAGGCACGAGCGAGCTTGCGGGCGAGTTCTTAAATTAATGAGGGTATAGAAAAGTTTATAAACGAGGTGCATACTATACTTTTTCTACGACAAATACTTATTATTATCTTAAAATGATTTAAATTAAAAATTTGTATAGAGCGCCATCTATGAAACAACAGGGGAAACTGTCTAATGTCACATTTTTACATTTTATAAACACAATTATAAAGGTTATAAATCGAAATGTATATTGAAAATTGACAGTTTTTCACAGTGAAAGTAAAGGAAATGTTTTATGAGGACTTTACAGTAGAGTCTGTGCCCGAATTTAAGTTATAGTTTACTGCCGGCGAAATTAAAAGGTCAGTTCATATAAACTTTTCAAATATTGGCGTTGGGAAACTATTTAATACTTTTGTATTTTTTTATTGAGATAATAAAATAATTTTCACATTTAGTATTATTTTACAAAAAAGGCACTTTATTTTAACGATTGTATGACATTTGACAACTGTCAACTAACTTAAAACTAACTTTAGCCCGTGACTAAAAACCTGTTGCTAACTTCAGCCCGTGACTAAAGCGCCGTAAAGCCACAACTTGTCAATGTGTATTTAAAAGGTCACTTAGTGTCATGGAAACATGTACGATAAAGGGCGTTTTAAAGGTGGGAGTAGAAAAAATCTTTTATGAAAATTTTTTGTTTATGTAAATTAAAAATATATATAATTTATTTAACACACGCAAGGAATATGTAATTTCGTGGCCCTGCTTAGAGTTGCTTGCAATATCAACTCCGACCGCACTGGAAAGGACGGCTGTTCAATACCCGCGTGAAAAGAACAAGGATAGACCGCCAAATAGAATTTGATTGGCCAGAGCCGGCTGCCGGATGCGTGCGAATTGTAAGCGAGGTCAAAGCTGGCTGGATTTAGACTAAATGATTTAGTGTTAAGCAAACTGCGTAAGAGTGTAGATGCACATTTTAATTTTCTTTTTAAATATTTTATACCCGAATCCTAAAAATAAAATTTTTTGATTTTTTCCTTGAGAACTAGGGCAACAACAAAAATAGTATTCTTAATAAAAAAGATTTCTCAAATAAAAAATAATTCTGAATAAAAATAACTAAATAAAAATAAAACTAAATAAAAATAAAACTCTAAAAATAAATAATAAAAATAAATAAACTCAAAAATTAAATTAAATGTTCGAACAAGCCCCCATAGGCAGCCAAACAATAGCCTAACCTATTATAAAAATTCCCACGCACATTAGCTGGACTAATATCCCCCAACAAATTAGTTATGCGGATTCCTAAATCATTGAGGTTATTAGCCCGATCTTCCTGGAAAACGTACAGCTTCGACTTGAGGTACCCCCACAAAAAAAAATCACACGGCGCCAAGTCCGGTGATCTAGCTGGCCAGAGAATTCCTCCTCGACCCATAATAAGACGAGGTCCAAAAGTGTCGGAAAGGAATTCCCGAACAGCCATCGTATTATGTGCGGGGCAACCGTCCTGCTGAAACCATACGTTTTCGATGTTAACTCCGTCTAAATTTTGAAGCGCGGGAATTATTTGGTCTCTTAAGAGATTTAAATACCTAGCGCCATTTAAATTGCCATTTATAAAAAATGGGCCAATTATTTGGTCGCCCAAAATACCCGCCCAGACATTAAGTTTTTGGGGATACTGTGTCCGAGCTGCATAAATCCTACGAGGATTTTCTCGCGCCCACATTCGAACATTCTGCGAATTGTGCCTGCCATGGAGAGTAAATGTCGACTCGTCAGTAAATAAAATATTACCGATAAAATTTGGGTCGGCATTTGCTCTCTCCATAACAACCTCGCAAAATTCCATGCGGCGGAATGCGTCGGCAGGGAATTGCTCGTTTCCCCGTCGCAGCTTAAATGGACGATATCCATGGCGTCTTAGCACATTTCGTGCCGTGGAAGCTGAAATATCAAACTCCCTAGCCACCGTACTTAATGCCTGGGTTGGGTTTTCTTCAATTGACGCGCAAATTAAAGTATCCCGCGCTTCTCTATTTAGATTTTCACGGGGAGGACGTTCCCGTCGGAGCTGCATCGGAACTACACAACCGTGCGTGAGAAAATTATTAACGGTTCGTCGAATTGTTTCTCTGTTTGGTCTGGCCTCGAACATTCCCGCAAATAATCTTTGAATTTCTCGTTCAGAATTACCAGCAAAATGCCAGATTAAAATCTGAACTTTTTGTTCCAACGTGTACATTTTTTAATTAAATAATCTTTTTCACTAAAATTACTACCTCTTGCTGGCACCACTGCAGTTCTCGTTCTGATTCCTCGTGTCAAGCACGCTGCGAGGTGCGCGATGGGTATGCGTTGTCGTAGCCTGCCGGCTGGCCAATCAAATTCTATTTGGCGTTCTATCCTTGTTCTTTTCACGCGGGTATTGAACAGCCGTCCTTTCCAGTGCGGTCGGAGTTGATATTGCAAGCACTGTATAATAAATTCCCTGTTTATTCTTTTCGTGGGCGAAATAGAATTTCGCTTACGAGGTGAAGTAAGCTTAAAGTAAAAATTTAAAAAAGTAAGGTGTAAAAAGCTTGACAGTTTTCAGATGTCAGATAAAATATCAAATAAAAATGGCTTTAAATTTCTTGCGGTAGTTGAATAAAATATTGTGTGCTGGAGGAATCTTCTCTTTCTCCAACTAGTCGCATAATATACTTTTGTGACAGAAAGAATATAAAGGTAATTATAAAATATTGATGAGTCAAGAAACTCACCCCAACTCATTTAACAATAAAACATTAAAATTAATTTTTTCTGTAGAAATGTTTAAATTTTAATATTGTCTTTATAAAGTTCTTTATAAATTCTTAATAAACATAAATTGTATTAATTATGGCAATACTTTTAAATTCTTTGAATTAAATGTAATTATTTTATAAAAATTAACAAAAAAAGACTTTTTTCAGTGATTCAAATACATTTAATTGTTTAATTTTCTTAGAGAAATGGGACCTATTTCAATCTAGCAATAGTATATTTTATTCAATTAAATCAGATCCTGATGGAAAAATTTACAAGGCATTTCCAGGATTAACAAAAAAATTTCGTATGTACTACCTACATACACCAAATTTTTCGGTGGTTTCATGACATTTGTTGAGTTTTTAGTTTAATAACAATTTTATGAATAATACACTTTTAATACCTATTACACAGTACCACAAAATATGAATTTTTCCATCCCATGAAAAATTTCTATAGATTTTGAAAATAGACTTAAAAAAATTATACCCGTGCCTCGGCGTTTTTTTAGATCACGTCATTTTT